TAACCACCTGGGGGGATCAGCAGTTACCGTAATGGCTATGTCTCTGGACTCCCATGTAGTCAACCGTGGTTCATGTCCTGGACCCGGTGGCTTAAAACTCACGCTGGGCGCGTGTGCGTGCGTGCCCAAGATCCCAAGAGGAGAATGGAGGAGAAGGGATTGCGGCATGGCCATCCCCCCTGGGGGGTGATTTCTCGCTTTCTCTGTCTCTCTGTCTCTCTCTCTGTCTGTCTGGCAAGCACATGCGCCTTATAGAAAAAACCTCTCCAAAAAAAAAAAAAAAAACCACACACACACAGCAGGGGGACCTAATAAGAGGTGATTAGGTTTAGAGTTAATGTCATCATGGGAGCGGAGTAGTTATTGAGAGAGTGGGTTGGAGCCTGCTCCTGTGCTTCTTCTCTGCCTCCTCCTCCCTTGCCCTTCCACCCTGGGCCATGGGATGTCACAACACAAGGCCCCTCAGCAGATGCCAGTGCCATGTCTCAGACTTCCCAGCCTTCAGAAGTGTGACAAATACATTTCTTTTACTGATAAACTACGTAAGCTGTAGTATTCTTTTTTTAGAAAAAGAATTATTTTATTTAACTTTATTTATTTGGTTGTTTTAAATTGACCAGAGAGGGACAGAGAGAGAGAGAGAAAGTAAGAAAGCAAGCTGCCAGGTCTGGGACTCAAACCATGATCAGCCATGTGGGAGTCCAGTGCCCTTAATCACCACACCGTCTGCTGGCCCCATAATCTGTAGTACTCTGTAATAGCGCAAAACAGACTGAGATCTATAAAAGTAAGGATTTTATATTGGGTCGTCAGGAAGTCATGATGCACTTTGACACTGAAAATGCACTTTGACATGACTTTCCTGATGTAATTATATATACATGTATATATATGTGTGTATGTATGTATAGCCAGTCCTCACCCTTCTCTGCTTGGCATTTTGCAATCGTATGTATCGTCAATTAAATATAATTTTATTTGCACTGGAAAACCAAAAAAATTCACGTGACTCACTTTATTGTGATATTTGTTTTATTGTGGCCGTCAGGTACTGAACTTGCAGTATCTCCGAGTTGCCTGGTCCCTAAAAATCTTTTTTTTTTTTAAATAACTTTTTTATTTATTCATTCATTGATTTTTAATTTGACCAGAGAGAGACAGAGGGTGAGAGTGAGAGAGAGAGGAAGCGAGAAAGCAAGCCACCAGGTCCAGGACTTGAACCCCAGTTGGCCATGTGGGAGTGTCCAGCACCTTAACCACCATGCCACCTGCTGATCCCCCCTAAAAATCTTAAAAACAAACAAACAAACAAAACACACAAAAAAAAACAAAAAACGCTTTAAGACAGATAAACTTTGGGGACTAGCAGTTAGCATAATGGCTGTGTCGCTGGACTGCCATGTAGTCGACCACAGTTCAAGTCCCTGACCCGGTGGCTTAAACTCACGCTGGGCGTGTGTGCACGTGCCCAAGATTACAAGAGAATGGAGAAGGGATTGTGGTGTAGCCATCCCCCCAGGGGGTGATTTCTCATTTTCTCTCTCTTCCTGGCAAACACACGTCCTATAGCAAAAACCTCTCCCTCCCCAAATAATAATAAGGCTGCTAACAGGTGGCTCAGTGAGGGACTTGGGGAGCTAAGATGAGACTCCTGGGGGCAGTGGGCAGGCTAAGCTGATAAGAGCTGTGTCCCTGGGTTTGCCCTCTTGAGATACCAGTATTTGGAGGAGCCAGCTGTCCCGCAACACACACTTCCTTTTCTTGGAGAGGTTGTAACTTTTTTTTTTTTTTTTTTTAAAGATTTTTTGCTATAAGGTGCTTGTGCTTGCCAGAAAAACAGAGACAGAAAGTGAGCAATCACCTCCCACCCCAAGGGAGGAGGACCACATGGCAATCTCTTCTCTATTCTCCCCTCAGAGTTTTGGGCACGCATGCACATGCGCCTGGCTTGAGTTTAAGCCGCCAGGTTAGGGACTTGAACCGTGATAGACTGTGTGGGAGCCTAGCGATGTAAACATTAGCATGGCCCTCTGGAATCCTGCTTTTCCTGGAGGCTGGGTACTTCCCTCTCTTTCACTCACTCACTCACTCTTGACCAAGTGACGGGGGCCAAAGTGGTCCTGGGAAAGGCCAGGAACTCACACGTTTCTGTTTACGTCATGGGCACGGACGGATTTCCCTCAAGGTCTTCAAGTTCCTGGTTCTTTTTCTTTCATCTTAACTAGTCTTCCTTGCCGGGGATTTCACACTCTATGCCTCCCAGAACACATTTCCAAAGCTCCCATTTCATGGAGCGATTGAGGACCATCATTATGTACACGAATAGTCTCTGTAGAATGAGCACACTCAAAAAATGAAGTGAGCTAGTGCACGTTACGGGTTAGAAGAGCCTGGCACGCACCCGCAGTGCCAGAGCTGTTGCTGCTGCACCCTCACGCCCAAGGCCTTTATGTTTATTGGATGGTCACTGGCAGATACTGTAGAGCTGAACCCATACAAGAGGTTGTATTTCCGATCAGCCTCACCAGCCCTGGTCACAAGCAGGATTTGATAATGTTGCCAGGGTGCCCCCTAGTGGAAGCTCAATTGTTAGGTCAGAAGTTGAAAGACGGGGCCGGGCCGGTGGGTCATTTGATGTTCACTGACATGGACCTGCAGGAAGTGTCTAGGTTCGCGCCCTAGGTCTCCCTGTGCATGCTGGGTGCATGCCCATCATACAAGGCTGGCCTAGGCTGGGGCAAGACTGTGGTGGGAGAGCTCTGCTGTGGATGTTGGTCTTTTATGGGATACATAAATGAAAAAAAAATTGCTAGGTGGGAGGTCAGCTTCAAAGGGGATAGTCTAGGCCTGGTAAGACCTGGAGATGGAAAAGTGTGGGATGATGGAACCAGCCCTAATATTTTTTGGGGGGGAGGTGCGGGGAGAGGTTTTTGCTATAGGGCGTGTGCGCTCGCCAGAAAGAGAGAGAGAGACAGAGAGACAGAAAGCGAGAAATCACCCCCTAGGGGGGATGGCCACGCCCCAATCCCTTCTCCTCCATTCTCCTCTCGGGATCTTGGGCACGCACGCATGCACGCACACGCGCCCGGTGTGAGTTTAAGCCACCGGGTCCGGGACGCGAACCACAGTCGACTACATGGGAGTTCAGCAACATAGCCATTACGCCAACTGTTGGTCCCAAGAACGAGCCCTAATTTGAGAATTTACTCAGTTAGTTTGCTAATGGGCTTTGCCACATTGACCCAGGTGAGAAACCTGGTCTCACCCTTTTGACCATTTACCCACGTGACCTTGGGCCAAGTGTTGAACATTTCAAGTTTTTTATCTTTAGAACTAGAATGAAAATATCCACACTGTAGGTCTGGATGGAGAGGGAGTAAGTTACAACACTCTGTTAAGAGAAAATCTCTTGTAATACTGAATCGAAGAAGGAAATCTGAGGCTTTAGATCAAAATAGGCAGAACTAAGTGATAAACTTGAGGAGTATGTTCTTCGAAAGAGAAGCAAGGGCATGACTGACATGAGATGCAGGAACCAGCCCCCGGTGGAGGGGCACTGTTCTGCCCCAGCTGGAAGGTGCGCAGGTGCTCATTCCATTAAACCGTACGAATGCCTTAAACGCGGATGTAGAGTTTACGCAAACATTGTAGAAAACACCCCATGACACGCCCTCCATGTGAAGAATTAACCAGAGACACTTATTAAATGTGTTAAGAAATATTAGTTTTTATTTAACCAGTTTTCACAGCTGAATATTTATTCTATAAAAACTTTACAGATTGTACAGTTTATATATAGTTCAAACTACAGAACGAAAAAGTAGGTCCCACAGATGCAAAAATACTGTAGCAATCAATCCAGGTAAAGGCAGATTTACACACTGTACAGCTCTCCACGGGGCTGGGGAGGCGGTCAGTTCTAAGTATAAACTTCAAAACTGTACAAAAATAAGGTTTTGATTTTATTTCGTTCTTCATACATTCAATATGATTGCAAGCTCAGAGGCCTAACTAATAGGCGTCTGTGGTCAGGAATCAGTCCCCACTCGTCACACAGGGCATTCTTGGACACCATCCTGCACTCAGTATATTGTACAGACATAAAAGCAGAGACTAAGAACATTAAATGTCGAATAGAAGGTAGTTCTTTTTTTGTTTTGAAAGGAGTTTCTGCATTTGATAGTGTGCCAAAAGAATTTTAACTTATTAAATAAAATATATTCTAAGTGAACCTAAAAATTACACTTTATAAACATAAAAATACCTTTTTTTTTTTTTGGTGTAATACATCAATCATATCTGCAAATAGAAAACCCAAACTGTATATAAAGTAGTTTTTCTCACCCAGCAACAAGAAGCACTTATGTAGTTATTTATTTTTTTTTCAAAAGGGTCAAAGAAACTATTTAAAACCCACTAGGACTAACTTATAACTTAAGATATTCATACTTAAACTATTCAGTGATTCACTAATACTGCAAAACAGCTTTCTTGGAGAGAGAGAGAGACAGAGAAAGTGGTTTCTCCATGTTAACTGGGTAAGAATTGATCGCTGCAAACGTAAGGGGAAACTGATCGATAGTTTATGTTTGGTCTGGGGGGTATGCTCATCAGTGAACTTCTCGTCACAAGTAATTATGCTAAGTAGTAAGTCTTACTTCTGATTTAGAATTTCCCATCTCTGAGTTATCAGTACTTTCTTAGAGACGAAAGCAGTATCTCAAATCTTTCGGAATCACTATCTGGAACAGGGGAAATGAGGCCAACCAATTCATCCCTCTAGAGTCTGTGTTCTAGAAGGAGGAAAGGAAAACAAACATTATTCTAGACGTTTCTATCACCCAAAACCAATAAAACACAATTTCCTTTAAAAAAAAAGAAAATACAGTACTAGCCAAAGAAAACAAAAATTAGAGCTTCCAAGAGCAGTCCTAGCGCTCACCATTATACTTTTATACTCGTGTGTACAGAAGTATAAAATAATGATGTTTGGACAGAGGAACTTTGTAGTTATTTATTTTAAAGTTACAGTACTTAAGCCTCCTTGATAATAAATAGCTTGGGTGTTTCCAGTCCTGCTTGGTGTGAGCTACAGGTGAACCTGCTTCGGGCTGTGAGGGTAGCTGAGGGTGACTCGGAGCCACCGCCGTCCTGCTCCATCCAATGGCAGGGACCGCAGCAGGTGGCCGGCCAATCAGAACTCATCGATTTTCCTCTGCAAGTATTTGAGCATGGAGTCCATGCCTTGGGCTGAGCCCCAGATTTTCTTGAGCACTTCACATTCCCTCTCATTGGCCTGCTCCAGCTCCAGCTTCATGTTACAGCGCACGAGGGCTTTGGATTCCTCGAGGACCTGCACCCAACAAGATGCAACGTTAGTGAGCAAGGTATGTGTGCTGGTTCCATTTCACCCCCAAAGCCATGGGGCCACTATCACCCTCGAGCAGTTACCTGTTAAGAAAGTCACGCGTATCCCCCCCACACCCCTGCCCCACCCCAACATGAGAGACTCTAGTCTTCCACAAGTGCATGGAAAATGTGTGTCATGAAAACACCGTACGGAATTGAAATTTTTTAGGGGGAAGAGTGCCAAAGAAACCTGCATTTCAATTTCATTTTCCTATGGACTCTTTGAGCTTTCTTTATATATGAGCTCTATTTCACTATATGCTGGACACATTCTGTACTTCAAAATGACGATGTCAAAACAAACCTGGGCTGCTGCCCCCTGGCCCTGCCCCAACACGGTGTCAGTCTCAGCCTGAGTTACCCTGTAGGCCAGTGTGGCCCTGAACTAAACGCTACCTCTGCTGGAGCCAGTGAAAATTCGGAGAATGTCCATTTGCTTCTTCTACTTTTAACTGCCAGAAGTTGTGTGCTTGTGTGAGAGAGAAAACACCCCCATAGGGTGTGGTCACACACTACAATCCCTTCTCCCCATTTCCCATCTGTTGGGATTTGGGGCACAGGTGCACATGCACCTGGCATGTCTTTCAAGCCACTGGGGCTGGGTCTCAAATCGCAGTCGGCCATGTTGGACCCAGCTCCCCTCTAACCACTTGGCCCCAGTTGAGGGTCTTTTCTTTTCTTTTCTTTTTCTTTAGAGGTTTTTTGCTATCGGGCGTGTGCGGTCACCAGAAGGACAGAGAGAGACAGAGAGATAGAGAGTGAGAAATCACCCCCCAGGGGGGATGGCCACGCCACAATCCCTTTCTCCTCCATTCTCCTCTCGGGATCTTGGGCACGCACGCACACGCACCTGGCGTGAGTTTAAGCCACCAGGTCCAAGACTTGAACCACAGTCGACTACATGCAAGTCCAGCGACATAGCCATTACGCTAACTGCTGATCCCGAGGGTACTTTCTTTTTGTTTTGTTTTGTTTTGTTTTTTTTTGAGAGGTTTTTGCTATAGGGTGTGTGCGCTCGCCAGACAGACAGAGACAAAGAGAGAGACAGAAAGCGAGAAATCACTCCCCAGGGGGGATAGCCATGCCGCATCCCTTCTCCTCCATTCTCCTCTTGGGATCTTGGGCATGCACGCGCACGTGCCCGGCGTGAGTTTAAGCCATCAGGTCTGGGACTCGAACTGTGGTCGACTACGTGGGAGTCCAGTGACATAGCCATTACACTAACTGCTGGTCCCCCGAGAGTATTTTCCTAAGAAAATTTAATGAGGGTTGTCCATGTATCAGGAGAGTTTAAATAAGGATTGTCTCAGTTAATATTAACATTTCATCCTGTAATTTGATAAGGGCAATTGTGTTAGAAATACTATTTCAGTATATTAATCAAAGACTTAGGCCCATTGTGTGTGGAGGGGACACGAAACACATCATATGAAAAGGCTTGGGAAACAGTCAAGAATTACCAGGGTACTTCAAAAAGTTCATGGAAAAAGAGAATTAAAGTATGAGTTTAGGGGGCTGGCAGGTGGTGTGGTGGTTAAGGGCAATGGATTCCCACATGGCTGACTGAGGTTTGAGTCCTGGACCTGTCAACTTGTTTTCTTACTTTCTCTCTCTCTCTCATTCTAATCAAATGATAATAAACAAATAAAGTTAAATAAATTACTTTTTAAGAAAAAGTATGAGTTTACTTCTGAGGCAAAGTAATTTGAAACCCATGCAGTATTTTTCATAATATGGTTTTCCACGAACTTTTTGTAGGTCTTTTGGATATAAATATGGGTTGTTGTAGACTCTGAAAGGACCTTTCAAATCAGTAAATTCAAGGCCAAAGTCCATTCCTTGACTGGGTGTTTGCACAGAGACAACAAGGCAAGTATCAATAGATCTGGGGCTGAGGGTATTGACTATGGCTTCCGTCAGGGTTTCCCATGGCAGCAGCTCTGACAATGTACAGGATTTAGAAAATACTGTCAAATCTGTAAGCTCTCTAAGGGAAAAGATTCCTTTTTTTTTTTTTTTTTAAATAGCATGAGTTTCAGAACCAATCAGACGTACCACTGGATTACATGAGGCGAGCTCCTTGATCCGAACCATGACTTCCTGGGTGAAGGTTCCGGGCCAGAACACCTGGGAGACCAGGCCTTTCCCACATGCCTCCTGCGCCGTCAGCTTCCGCCCGCTGAGCAACATTTCATTCGCCTGGAAGAAGAGCGGAGTGGTATCAAGTGTGAGGAGGCTGTGGGCAGACGACTGAGCCTGCAAATTCCGCCCTCCAAACCAAAGACCCGCGTTTGAAAATGGCGCCCCTGCGGGGACCCTGCTGCATGGCCTTCAAAGGCCTCTAAGAATAAGCCAATACAAGGCACACTCATTCGGTAGACAGGAGCGTAACACAGCAGGCCTGTGATTTAAAAAAAAAAAAAAAAAAAAAAAAAGAGGAGGTAAAGAATACAGAAGGCTTTGTTGTAATGTAATACAGAACCACACAGACTTAATAAAGAAATCTAAATTAGAAGAGGTCGATTTGCTATTAATTTGAAAGTTACTGATAGGACTTCTCTCCACCTGCCTTCCTCCTCCCTAGTGCCAGCCCTGTAAATAACCAATCCTGGGGAAACAAGGCCTAAAAGCAGGGTTAGGGAATTTGTAATGTTAAGGCTATGAGCCAGGCATTGAAACGACGCCACAGTTGGAGAGACCAATGGCAACTTGCCCTCAGAACTGAGTCGACGTTCTAATGGCAAGGCATCTCTGCTAGAGTGTACCCTGGAGGTCCTATTTTAGTGTCTGGACATTAAAATAAAAAAACTTTCTGGGACCCAAGTATGTCCAAAACTACTATAGTCTTGGGGCTGGCAGGTGGTGTGGTGATTGAAGACGATGGACTCCCACATGGCTGACTGCAGTTCGAGTCTAGGACCTGGTGGCTTGCTTTCTCCCTCTCTGGTGAAATTAAGATAAATGAATAAATAAATAAAAGTAAAATAATTCTTTTCTTTTTGGAGAGGTTTTTGCTATAGGGAGCGTGTACTCACCAGAGAGAGAGAAAGTGAGAAATCACCCCCCAGGGGGATGGCCACGCCATAGTCCCTTCTCCATTCTCCTCTCAGGATCTTGGGCATGCACGCACACACACCTGGTGTGAGTTTAAGCCACTGGGTCCGGGACTCGAACCGTTGTCGACTACATGGGAGTCCAGTGACATAGCCATTACACTAACTGCTGGTCCCAAATAAAATAATTCTTAAAAAAAAAAAATCTACTATAGTCTGGTTAAGTGAGTCTGAATATAGTGAGCATTCTTCATTGGGTCATGGAAATGAACAATTTTTTTTGTTTAAAAAATGTATGTGTATAAACATACAGACTTGATTTTAACTTTGCCCTAATTCTAGATCACTTTTAAGGTCTCAGCACACTCCATGTGCATTTTATTAATACATCACTCAAATGACGTGTTCACAGATGCTGACCTACGGCACTCAGGGGAGAGCACACATTCCACAGAGAAAACGTCACATTAGCACGATGGGACAACTTCTGGAAGACTCCGATGGTCACGAAGGAGACTTGGCCAGGAGTTCTGGGGCTCAGATAAAACACACTTTTGGCTGATGACTGGCTCTTCCAAGAGGCAAACCCACTGCTAAGAAAAGATCCTAGGCATCTCTGTGCGTTGGTGGTGCCTGCCCACTTCTGGAGATGTGCTCGTGCTGATGTGGATGGGCCCGGAACTCACAATAGCCCAAGGCCAGCAACTGCCAACATTTCCCAGACCTCTGCCTCTCCTCCTCTGGAGGGATAAAAGCAATCTGAGACCTTGAGAAGCTGGACAACCAGCTTATCTGGCCCTCTGAGAACAAACTCTGGGCTGCCTCTTCCTGATAGGATACCCTTAGCCCACTGAGAACCACCCCTCCCCCTGCCTGACCCCACGGGAGGGCCAGAGATTCAGTGTGAACTCCTCTGTGTCTGCCGCTGTAATTAAAGAGTTCTCTTTTCTCTCTGGAGTGCTGTGTTTTTGTCCTTCAGCCATCTGTTTTTCCGCAATAGTGCCAGGTACTGCCTGGCTTGGTATGCACACATGTCAGAGCTGGCAAATCACACGTCTAGCTGATCTTGAACCCTTCCAACCAAGGCAGAGGTCAGAAAACAGCTGGGGACAGGCTCCTCACGAGAAGGGTTTGCAAGTTTCCTTACAATCAGTCAAAGTCAGGAGAGCATGAAGAGTTTGGTGGTGTGCTCTGCTGACCGAATGAACAGCCACTTTCCTGGGCAGTGGTCCATTAGTAAGCAGTGGGCTAGAGGTGGTAGTTATGAGTGAGGGCATCTAGACTGGGGTATGGGCAACTATGAGCGGAGAGGGAGAGGGGACTGTGGGTTGCCCCACTAACCTCCCTCCACCTCTTCTACATTTAATTTTTTTTAAAGATTTTTTTCCTACAGGGTGTGTGCACTGGCTAGAGACACAGAAAGTGAGAAATCACCCCTACCTCCCCAGGGAGGATGGCCATGTTGCAATCCCTTCTCCTCCATCTTCCTTTTGGGATCTTGGGGCACACATGCACGTGTACCCGACATGAGTTTTAAGCTGCTGGATCTGGAAATAGAACTGTGGTTGACCACATGGGAGTCCAGCAATGTAATCATTACGCCATCTGCTGGTCCTGTACATTTTTTTAAAACTTTCTAGTTTGGGAATAAGTTTAGACATATGGAAATTACAAACATAGAAGATTCCCATAAACCTGTCACCCAGCTCTCCCCAGGTTAGCATACAATATCTCACTATGGTCAAGACCAGAAAGTTGGCAGAGACCCTGTCCTATTAACCATGAAGCCTGTATGAACGCTGCTCTTCTGTGACCCAGGGTCCTGGCCAAGTCCCCACATCTCCTTGGTTTCCTCCAGTGTGTGACAGTTCTCAGTTTTTCTGTTTCTTTTCTTTTCTTTTGAGAGTTTTTGTTATACGACACTCCTGAGGAGTGCTTCTCAGAGTCTACAGACCGTCTGGCAGCCTGGGTTTGTCTGAGATTTTATGACGATTAGACCATGGTGATGCACGTGTAGCAGGAATCCATAGGGCCATGGATGCTGTTTGCTGCGGTGCATCATACAGGGCGCACTGAGGTCGACATGGCTGATTTCCCGTGAACGTGCAACTCTTCCAAGGTGGCACCTGCCAGGTTTCTTCACTGAAAAGTTAATACTTTACCCATTCCAAGTAAGAGCAAATGCCATACTCTTCCCCCTAACTTTAACATCCAGCTAAGTCTTGCCTGATACAGTTATTAATTATACTCCGGGCTTCCCCGTCTAAGTTTCCCGCAGGATGACGGGCCTCCTGGAAGCTGTCCCTGGGATGCAAGAAGAGGAAGATGTGAACAACACAGCCTGTGGTGGACACAGAGCTGTGCAGCTCCAGCTGTTGGTAGTGCTGTCCACAGATGGCCAATGGCTCCTTCAGGGACTCCCTCAGCTGCAGAGTCACCTCATCCCTGCACATGACACGCTTCATGTGCAGCCACATCCAACAATGACGGACATGAAAGAATCAGCCGACCCGTTCCACCGTGGGGCGAGTGGGGCAGGCTGTCTGTGCTCCCACTTCGGAAGTGGGGTGGGGGGGGACCAGAGCTGTGTTGACCGGTATCAGGTTGACCACTCCCGTTGCCTAGTTCTACTTCCTCCCCATCCATCCTGTCAACAGGCGCTGCCTAACTAGTCATTCTGCAGGCCAGACTTGTCTTGGTGTCTGCATCCCAAAACTGACCTATGACACACTACCTCCTGCTCTGTTTCAAGGAATAAGATGCATGTGGATGCTCGAGAAATGACAAGCTACCATACAAACACCAACTATTATCATGGATGGTTTAGTTTAAAGCAGCTCGAGAAGAAAACCACAAAACTGAGTAGAAACATATGCCTCTTGTCCTACGTGATTCTGCTCCCTGTAGCTTTCTCTTAGATAGAAGAGAGGTTTTTTAGATAAGGAACTATTCCACTGGAAATTCTGCTGGTTGGGTTACAAAGAGTGTATTACTAAGAGTGGATGTCAGTGAACCAGGCCTTTCTCGACGAAATGATGCAAAAATGTCATCAATAACATCCTATGAACCAAAATCTGAATTAGAAACGTATTCGATGGAAGTGCCCACAGAATGACATACTATATTTATTTAGGAAAAAAAAAATAAACTAAATTTCTTCAGGAAGTTTTCTAGACTGATATTTTTCCCTAAAAAAAAAAATAAATAAAAATAAAAAGGTACTCACAGATGCTCCTCCCATTATCTTGGGGAACATAACGGTGGAACAGCCATCTGGACTCTGTCCGAAGGTAGTATAGGGTGTTTGAAACCAAGCCTTCTCGTTAGCCCAAACCACGTCACACAGAGGCAATATGGATGCTCCCAGCCCAATGGCCGGGCCGTTTACTGCTACAATAATAGGCTTCTTAAACTGAATGAACGTATTCACGAAGTTTCTAAAATGAAAAAGAAATGGGGAATTATTCTAAATACTGCATATTTGAGCAAATAAAAAAAATCTACTATGGAATTCAATTGACCAAGATGTAAACTCTATGGAAATCATCAAGAGTTGAGGATGTAAGGCCTTTTCCCCAGAAGCTGTTGGCCAGGCTCATTTACTGCATGCTGTAAAAGGAGGCTTTTGCTACAGAATCTGTCTGAGGGTTGGGAGTAACTCAGGGCCTAGCTGCTTTCCTATCTACAGTTGGCTCTTGGGCTTTGGGACCAATATTCTTGCTCCTCAACCTTAAAAACATATGGAGCTATCAAACACAGTAAGCTCTGGACCAGCCCCATAGCCTAGTGGTTAAGGCAGCCAGATCCCACATGGCTGACCATGACTTGAATCCCAGACCAGGTGACTTAAAAAAACATGCCAGATGCATATGCATGCGTGCCCCCAAAACCCAACAGGATGGAGAAATGGAGAAGGGGCTGCAGCAAGACAATGCCCCAGTGCATATGCTCCCTAGCGACTGGAACAGAAGAAAGAAACATTTGTGAGCTTCTGATAACCGATTCAAGGTCAGATGGTGGTGCAGCGACTGACAAAATGTGAGGCTGGCCCACATGGGAGGTCCCAGGTTTGCATCTGGAGGCTGGGTATGTGTGTACCTATAATCTTGGGGTGCCTCACCCCTGCCCCACCAGTCTCTCATTCGTGGAAGTAAGTAAATGGGACCGGCAGGTGGCATGGTGGTTAAGGGGCTGGACTCCCACATGGTCGACTGTGGTTCAAGTCCTGAACATGGTGATTTGCTTTCTTATTCCCGCTGTCTCTGGTCAAATGAAATGATGATGGTGAATAAATAAAATTAAATTCTTAAAAAGAAAAAAGGAACCAGTAAACAACTGTTTTAGATTTTAAATGTCCTTTAAAGTTATCGCAGAGAAAACCTGGCTCAGGGCATACTGGGACAGTGTGGTGTAGAGTGGAGACTAGAGGATTAGGGAAACCATAGAATCTGAGTCTCGGCTTGGTATGTGATTTCAGACGGCTTACTGATTATTCAGGAATAATAGCTAATGCCTGAGTTTGTACAGAACTAGACTGGATGACTGGGGATACAGAGACGAGAGGCTCACAGGCTGGAGTGAGACTTGAAGGATCAAACAAGATCAGCAACCCCCACGAGGCACACGCCTGCATGCTGTCTGGTACCCCCCACCATGGTGGCAGGATACGGCTGCAGCAGGCGTTCAGAGGAGTGAGACCCGGGGATGGGCAGGCTTCGCAGGGGAGGTGGAGTCTGACAAAATCGAGCTAGTGCTATTTTAGGAGCAAGCTAGAAAATCAGGCTGCTTTTCACCACATGGCTGCTACACCACATGGAAAGCGTGTGTTTCCTTCCCAATACCGGAAACCGACTGTACGTTCAGAGGCTGTTTCTTGTTATGATTAAACAAAGTGGAGAACAGGATACACACAGACCAAACCAAATGTAAGACTGCTCCTTTAAGTCAGTCTGAGTTCTAGATCCGAATTACAGAATAAACGGGGCTTTCTACTTGTTGGGTTCTAAGCCCGGCTCCTGTGTTTGGTACTGAATGTAACAAATCAGATGGATGCTCTCTGCAATTTAAGAGTTTATAAATACCACACAGAGGAAGCCAGATACTACATGGCTGACCAGGGTTTGAGTCCTGGTTCCAATGTGTTAAAAACACACGTAGTTCATCTAAATGTATCCAGGATCTTGATGGAATGGAGAAATGGAGGAAAAACAATGGTGGCATGACCAGGCCCCAGTTGGGGGTGGGGTGGGGGGGTGTTCACCTTCTAGCTCCCTCCTACACGTGACAAGAGGGCATGGTAACAAAATGGAAGGAAAAAGGCAGATTGGTTTGGATTTTCTCAGAACATCACAATTTGGCATCACAGATACACTCCCTGTCCCCAGTGCTCCTTAATACTGACAGAATGGGTCATGGCTTCTCTCTTTTTAAAAATTTTATTTATTTATTCATTCATTTATTTTAATTTGACCAGAAAGAGAGAGAGAGAGAGAGAGAAAGTGAAACAGCAAGCCACCAGGTCCGGGACTCGAAACGTGGTCGGCCACGTGGGAGTGTACAGCGCCTTCACCACCACACCACCAGCTGGTCCCTGTGGCTTCTTTTTCTGAAGGAGGCCCTTCAGGGAGCTGTGAAGAGGGGCATGTGCAAGGAGCAGGAGGAGGAGGAACTGTAGTCTGGCAGCTGGAGCAGAGTTCCAACTGTTGTCAAAGGCGCCAGCCTCAAGGCCCAGGTCTGCCCCAAGGCCCTTCAGGTTTAGGGATCTTTGCTTTGAGCAAGAATTAAGTCATTCCAATGGAAGTGCACTTAGACTTCCTAAATGAGAGCGCCTGAGGCAGCCTTAGAAAGATTACACCAGGGTTTGAAGGTGTAAAGAGAGCCAGACACCCTTGGAAGCAGGCTCTTGAAATAGGCAGAGACACACTCCAGGAAGGGGTTTCGGCGGTGTTGCCTTTTGAGGCTGTGGGATCAACGACACAAGATGGAAATACATTTGCGATGCTCAGTTACTGATGACGCCCAAAAGTAGCTGCTCAATTCTCTCCGTGAAGTGGAACAGACGTTTCCAAACACATTATCAGCCTCATGTGATGGGGCAAAGCAGAAGCTGCCCCAGCGCTAACATCTGGAGGCCACAGATGTGATGTAGACTAACATAAAAATCAGAGGAATAATAATTATAGAGAGAAATGGCAAAAAGAACGAGGGACTTCACGCAGCAGTTCTTCCAGAGCTCATGTTATATGCAAAACCTGCTTCTGAAACTTGGAATTTTAACCTGCAGGAGGAACTCTTCATCTGAAAGATCATTTTTATTTTATTTTGCCTGGGAACAATAACTTCGGCTGAAACTGATGGCTCTTTCTGGGAGGGATTGGAATCATTTGGCACACTGTGGAGCAAATATCACCTTCCCTTTTCAGAGGATGGGACCTGGTAACCCTTTTATTTATTTATTTAGTTTTCACTATGGGGCATTGTGTGTGTGTGTGTGAGAGAGAGAAATTACTCGCTAGTGGAGATGGCCATACAGTAATCCCTTTTCCTCCAGTCTCCTCTTGGGATTTTGGGCATGCACACACTAACCGTGGGGTAAGGGACTCGAACCACACAAATGGCCATGTGGAATCCAATTCTTTTCCTTTTCCTTTCCTTTTCTTTCTTTTCTTTTTTAAAGAGATTTTTGCTATAGGGTACATGTGGTTGCTAGAGAGACAGAAAGCATGAAATCACCCCTGGGGGGATGGCCCCTCCTTAATCCCTTCTCCTTCATTCTCCTCTCAGAATTTTGGGCATGCATACACATGCACCCCCCCTTGAGTTTCAAGCCTCCAGGTCTGGGACTCGAACTGTGGTCAGCCTTGTGGTAGTCTAGCAACGTAACCATGACATCTGCTGGTCCCAGGGATTCAGCTCTTTAACCTCCACACCACCTGCTGGCCTTGGACCTAGCCATTCTATGTGTGAGTCTGAGATCTACACAGGAACTCAAGGAGTTTTTTTAAAAAAGAAATAACCTTCACAGAAAATCTTTTCTGTCTAGTAAAAACTTTTTAAGGCTACAAAGACTTGGCCTTGCAAATCGCAATGCTAGCAGAGGTGGGAAGCAGGCACTACCTTCGGGCATGAGGTCTGGTCAGGCACTCGGGGAGCCTGGCCTTCAAGGAAGGTGAGACTGCTGTCTTTACTTGGTGCAAAGCAGGTGCATTTTGAAACTGAAAAATCAAAACCCACCAATGTTCAAATGTATGCAATGCAACATCTGAATCAAAAATTTGTTTCCTTAGATTATTTGTGCATTGAGTTGAAGACTGGGTAAGGCAGGGAGGGAGAGAAATACCTGCCACAAAATTAAGTTTAAAAAGACAAAAATTCTTCCTGTGTAGAATTTTTTAATAATGAGCAGAAATCAAAAAGTTACATAAGCACATAATCATCTGGGAATTACTGGGGGGGTAATGAGGCGACAAGGATTTTTTTTTAATGACATGTGCACTCCCTGGAGAGAGACAGACAGTGAGAAGGAAGCTGAGAAATTACTCCCCAGGAGGGATGACCATGCCGCAATCCCCTCTCCTCCCGGGATCGTGGGCACACATGCACATGCACTCAGTATGATTTTCAAGCCACCAGGTCCAGGACTCGGACGGCGGTCAGCCATGTGGTAGTCTGGCTACACAACCTCCACGCCATCTGCTGGCCCAAGGATCCGAGGTTTTAATAGCCAGTTCCCTGTCTTTTCTCAAGGTGAGCTCACCTTTACCTCGTACAGAACAGGAAGGTCGAATGGGGAAGAGGGGAGGTTCTAGACCCATGTTTACACCCTCCCTCTGCTCTCCCCCCAAGTCCTCTGGTCTCTGGGAGACTACTTGCTTGGAGATCCCCCTACACACACACTTTTCCTTTCTCCTTGGGGGAAGATGCTCAACTCTGGGGCAAGGAGACACCTCATCTCCCAAACACGAAGCTGCAGCACACTGCAAATGATTTGTAACCATTTTGTCATCACTAATGGGCTAAGTATTTTTATTATAATAAATATGCGAACTGGTAGTCACTACCAATTCTGATCATGAAATTAGCTGCCCTATTTACCTGACCACCTGCTGTTTAACCTACTCTCCCTCTTTCCAATTTTTCTTTTGGAAACTTGTTACCATAAAGTCCTCTGCCTCCATGTCTTAAGGAATTTAAGACATGACATCACAGAAACAAAAAATACACAGAGTAAGAGATCTGGAGTATCAGCCAAAGTTACACACATAAAATTTCATTTAAATGACAATGAGCAAGAGGAAAGGGTAAGTGAATTTGGTGTAACTATTTATACTCTGGTAGGATCAGAAAACGACTAAGAAAAATTCACATTGACTAAAACTCATTCACTTAAAGAAGAAATAAGGAGGTTTCCTAAAAGCCAGGATTTGACTTTTTACTAGAATATCAGCTTAGTTTTGTGTGTGTGTGTGTGTGGGGGGGGGGCAAGGAGAGTGGAATGAGAGTGGGGAGTTGATAAAAAGGGTAAACATTTGGGACCAGCAGGTGGCGTGGTGGTTAAGGCGCTGGACACTCCCACATGGCCAACCATGTTTCGAGTCCTGGACCTGGTGGCTTACTTTCCCACTTTCCCGTCAAATTAAAATGAATGAATGAATAAAGAGAATTAAATAAAAACAATTCTTTTTTTTTAAAAAGGATAAACATTTAAAGTTATCGACAAGTTCAACAAAGGAGATAGCTACTGACCCCCAACCTGGTCTATCTTTCCTCTGCCTCCCTGGATCCCACGGCACTAGCCCGAGCCACCCTACAGGGTAATCCAACACTGAACTCAGGAGCGGCACGACAAGACTAACTAGTGGGGCTTAGGGCAGAGTCTACACAGAAAACGGAGCCAGGGCTTAGAAGGCACTGGTCGACAAATCCTATTTTTGTGTTGTAGCAGAGCTATCAAAAAGCACAATATGATACGTGAAATCTATGTGATCCCATGGAAAAGACACTAAGACATTGCACTTGGCGTAATGATTTGTGAAGAAGAAATGAGAATCGGGTTCCTGTAACCCATCCCCAGTGGATGGGTTAGTAACGGGAACACCCACACGCTACCTTAGAGGTGCTGATAACCTGTCAAGGGGTCACACACACTGATCAAGCACTTTCATATCAAACTGAATAGCAAGACAGTGCTATCTAGGATACCACCATTTGAAATTACTTAGGAACCGGATCCGATTGTAAAATTTTAAAGTACTTCTGGGGGTAGGGGGTTGCAAACTACCATATGATACTCGGCAATGGCCTCAAAGATTAAATAAAGAACAGATAACCTCTTAAAAAATGCTTACCTAATACGAGAAAACATATTAATTCTGAAAATGACTAAATATGGTATGAAAGGCCAAGGTAAAGCCTCTTAACTCTTCACCTGTGGGGTTCTAATACTCCTGTGATGGGCTGTTTGGGGTAGTGCACATTAAAACCATCCAGGGAGAGCTGTTCAAGAGAAATGCCCTGCCCCGTCCTAGACCCACCCGACCAGGAAAAAACAAAACAAAACAAAACTGGGGAGGAGTGAAAAGAAAGCCCAGAGCTCCAAGGGCAGTGCTTAGATTCTCAGCCAGTATGAGCTAGGAACTATTAAAAAAAACCCACAGGAGCCAGATGGCAGTAGAGCTGCAGCACAACTGGATCGACATGGAAAAGGTCCTGGGACTGCCTCCTGGGACCTCCCTGAGCACCCTGGGTGCCTGCTTGTCTGCCCATTATCCAGGCCAACTCGGGGTGGGGGGTGTACTGCACTGTGAGTCTCTGTTGGAGATGTTTGTCTCTTTTATCAAAGAAATAATTAATGAAAACTGGGGAAAAAAAAGTTCAACTTCAACTGTCCCGAGATCTGGGTGTTTTGAATATCCGAAGTACTTTATTACTATTTTGCAAGTCTGCATCTCTGTAAGTTAAAAAGACAAATGTGAGGACAACAGGTGGTGTGATGATTAAGGTGCTGGATTCCCACATGGCTAACTGTGGTTCGAGCCCCAAACCCGAAGGCTTGAAAATCACGTGGGCACATGTGCATGTGTGCCCAAAAGAGGAGAATGGAGAGGAGGGGACTGTGGTGTGGCCATCCCTCCTAAGGGGTGATTTCTCACTTTCCCTCTCTCTTTCTCTGTCTGCCTCTTTCTGAAAAGTGCATATGCCCTATGGCAAACACCTTAAAAAAATAATAAAAGAGGCAAATGCAGGGGGTCTTAGGGCTCACCCAAGGAGATGTCTTAGGGAGGTGAACAGAGACTATAAGAGTATTTCTGGTTAGCGACTGGGTATTGTTGACTGTAAATGAAATCCATCTCTGAAAAATCGGACACTTCATGCATACAGAGCTTAGCACGCTAAGTGAGGGAGTATAGACTATGTATAGAACTTGTTTCGCCTATAGCACAATTATGTGGTTCCTGGGAGAATTTTTTATACTGTTATGATACGCTAGTGGAAAATCCAACAAGAAAGGACATGGAAATATCTCAAAGTCATATACTGGGTTGTCGGCAAAGTCATGACTTATTTTTGGATAGAAAAACACAGAAAAATGCCATGACCTTTTAGACAACCCAATAGTTACAGGAAACAAGCAACACATGGTGCAATTCTCTTTATTTAACAGAATTAAAAACAAATCTGCATTGGGGCCAACGGGTGGCATGGTGGCTAAGGTGCTGGATTCCCACATAGCCAACCACAGTTGGAATCTAGGACCCGAAGGCTTAAAAGTCATACCCAGTGCATGTGCGTGTGCCCACAAAGTCCTGAGAGAAGAATAAAGGAGGTTTGGCCATGCCCCTGGAGAATGATTTCTCACTCCCCCCTCTGTGTCTCTCTATGGCAAGCACATGGCCTTATGGCAAAAGCCTTTAAAAAAAAAAAAAAAAAAAAAAAGGAAAGAAAAAAACTTCATTATTTCTGTGTGTGAAATACATATATTTGAAAATGCCTAGCCACGTAGGCTCTGGCCCTCTTAACCACTAAGCCACAGGCCTGGCCCCAAGAGTAGATTTTAAGTGTCTTCACCACAAGAATCATAAGTATGTGAGGTGATACATGTTAATTACTTGATGTCGCTATTCTCCAATATACGTATTTTGAAACATGCTGCACACCATGGATATATGTAATTTTTAATATAATTTGTCAACTAAAAAAACCAAAAAAAATTTAATTAAAAAAAAAAAAAGTTTAGAAAAAGGTTGGGGATGGGGCTGGCTGGTGGCGTGGTGATTAAGGGCGCTGGACTCCTACATGGCCCACCGTGGCTTGAGTCCTGGACCTGGGATTTGTTTTTTTTTTCATTTTCTATTTCCTTCTCTGGTCAAATTAAAATAAATCAATAAACCAATACAATTTAATAAAATCATTCTTTCTTTTTTAAGAGTTTTTTGCCATAGGGCGCATATACTCACCAGAAAAACAGAGAGAGACAGAGAGACTGAAAGTGAGAAATCACCCCCCCAGAGGGGATAGCCACACCGCAATCCCTTCTCCTCCATTCTCCTCTCGGGATCTTGGGCACGCACGCACACACGCCCGGCATGATTTAAGCCACCGGGTCCGGGACTTGAACCACAGTCGACTACATGGGAGTTCAGTGACATAACCATTATGCTAACTACTGGTACCAAAATAATTATTTAAAAGAGAAAAAGGTCGGAGAAAACGTATAAATGAATAGTGGTCATCTTGGGTAGGTGGGCTTTAACTTTTCATTCCATAATGACCTAGTTCTCTGTGTAGCTGGAATTTAGGATGACCAAGTATGTGTACTGCCTGTGCTTGTAGCTGGAATTTAGGATGACCAAGTATGTGGAATGCCTGTGTTAAAAAAAAAAAAAAAATCCCCAAAACTTTTCATGTGATGTTATAGGGAGCATATTTTAGAGTAAAATTAATGGTGAGCTATTACTGGAAGCGAATATACATCTTTATTTAAGAGTTGAGGACAATATACTCATCGCACAAATAATAGAAAGCCTGGCTACACATTATCATATACACGAATCATTAGAACATTCCCTGACGCTTCCTTGCTGCGTTTAAGGCAGCCTTGAAATCAGCGATCCGCCCAAGGCAAGCAGTAATTTATGCCAAGCCCGCAAAAAAGACAGATGATTTAATTAATTCTGCTACTAGTGTCTCTCAGTGGAAGAAGATGTACATGCTATTCTCAAGGCTTGTTTGGGCCTGTTCTATCAGGCTGGGTACACTGAAAACAAAACACCCAGACCAACGTTGGACAAGACACCCCTTTTGCGTACCTGATGGCGTCTGCCATTTTAGTGCTTTCTCTTTTCCTGTCGTCTGTTAAACGCCGTATAAAATAAATAAAGTCGAGGCCGCAACAGAAGACACTGCCCACCGCGCTGAGTAGCACGAGCTTGCTGTCGTCCGCAGCAGCTGTGTTCAGAGCACTCTGGACTTCTTTCATTACCTGAAAGTCACCAGAAGTTAAAGGGGCAAAGGGTATTCTGGGGGCAGAACCCTAACATACTTTTTTTTATCCAACAGTCTGGATCTATAGAACATTCATGAAAATTGTGATACGGTTCTCCAGTATCTATCAGGGTTTTAAATAACTGATTATAATCAGAGTCCTGGGAAACGGCGATGCAGAGTTGATAACTACCTAATTACAGAGTATGGTAAGAAAGACACACGAGTCTACATTACCTTAATTTCTACAGCCTTGATTGTGGCTCTCGGTAGGTAAAGCAAATGAATAATCTATCCCCTGGGCATTTCTACAGTTTGGACAGCAGGTGGCACATTCAACCAGTTCAACTAAAGAAACTAGTTTAGTTCCAGTTTTGGTTGTTGTTGTTATTTGTGTGTGTGTGTGTGTGTGTTTAAACCAGCTGAACCTACTTGGGACAAAAACCCAAACAGTATGGTGTGTAAGTGCATTAAGTACAACCACATTGGCATGAAAGGGTTATTTCGGAAGGGCACAAAATCATTTCTAACCATCTCTAAGAAGTATTTAAAAATAACCAATGAAGGGACTCTGTTGTGCAGTCTAAAAATGACCCGGGGAGCCGCCCTGAGCTGACTGTTACGTGACCCCGGTCAGACACACGGACTTTCTGTAGTGTGGTTTTCTTGTCTGCGAAGAACTTAGCAGTTCACAAGAGGAAAACACTTACTAGTTACTGTCAGCAATGAACATGTGTGGACACCGTGTACCTGCACGTTCTGCGACAATGCGGGAGAATATCTGAAGACCAAGAACAATGGCGACGTTTTCTTAAGGGGCTGGAACCCAGGGCGTTTTAGTCTTGACTGAACAAAGACCCTGTCTGCTGAGGCCCAGCCACCATGGTGGCACAGGGAAAGGTGCTGCTGCACAATGCTGGCACCACAGGGGACGGTCCAGGTTTGGCCCCTGGTCAGTATGATCAAGCCGGGTACACCTGTGATTGTGACCGGCTGGGGCCTGAGGGAGTAGGGGATCACACCATGGTGAGACTGTGTATGTATGGGGAGGTTCCCCCCACTTGTGAAAGAAACTTAAAGAAAAAAAAAAGTCTGATGAAAGCTAAAGCAGTGTGTGCCCCGTCCACATTTTCCATGTGACTTCCAGGAGGATGTGGGCTACCCAGGCACCCCATGCCGTCCGGATGCAGGGCTGACCTGGGAGGTGACCGAGGACAGAGTGCAGCTACCACCTGTCCATCCCGAGCTCTGGTTCCCTGCAAAGCCCACAGTCCCAACTTCACCGCAGTCGGAGCGCGGTGACAAGCCAAGCGGCCCCGTGTCACCTCCGCGTCCTATCTTCTGGTGGGCACCCTGAGATGGCCCAGAAGGAGGCTCAGAGTGAACACAAAGGACAGCACTGATTCTGCAAAGCGGGCCCAGAAAACGGGCCGCAGAAGCACGAAGCCCAGATCAGCCCAGGAGCGCCTCTCACCTCTGGATTGAGTGAGTTATTCTCGGATGATTTTGTGGATAACAAGATGTGGGTGAAGCCATCCTGCTTCCTGACGACAATATCTCTGTATCTGTAGGCGCTTTCTGTTTGCCTCACACTGAAACGCAATCGCTTGTCAAAAGGCTGGTCTCGTCTGTCATCAATAAATTTCCTTTTCCCGGCGGTCACTCCTGTGACGGATGTCTGTATGTTGGTTGTCCCGTTGGCTGTTAATGCGTCCATGAACGGAGAGGTACCTGCCAAGAGTTTGAAATCTCAGTGGTCTGTGACGTCCTACCACCAGTTCGCGCCCAGCGCCATCTCTGAATTAGATAAAAACGCACGATCCAAACCCAGGATTTCACGTGGTAACAGGGAACTAAATTAGAACCTTGGGAAAATGCACTCTGGAAAGCTGTTTTTAGTCAATGTCTAAGAAGGAAATCACCCTCTTATCTTTACCAAAAAGTAAAGACAGAAAGGTACTTACTCAAAAGAAGCTACAAAATTCAAGACTTCACAAAGGATGGAATTAAAAAAAATCTCGGCCTTATGCACAGTACCTATTCTAAGTTTGAGCGGTTGAGAGAAAGCAGGACACGGAATAAAAAAAAAATACTTAATTTGAGTTGAGCCCATCTGCTGTCTAGTCAAAAGTTCTTTTTCTGAAGGCAAAACTGACCTGTATAGACACATGATCTATCTCGGCAGGTCTGCAGGCTCCTGCCTCACCTGAGACATTTAGTACCCAGGAGTTCTTCCTTAGGTGGCCCTGGGAGGTGACCATCCATCCAGGGAGAGCAGGTGGCACTGGTTAAGACAGCTGAATCCCACACAGCCAACTGTGTGGTTAAGCCCTAGACTCGTGACTGGAAAAACACACTGGGTGCATATGCGTGTGTGCCCAAAATTCCGAGAGGAGAAGGGAGAAGAGACTGCAGTGTGGTCAACCGCTCTGAGGGGTGCTTTCTCACTTTCTCCTCTCTCCATCTGTCTCAAGTGAGTGCACGTGTTCTAGAACAAAAAAATGGAAAGAAGAGATCCATCCACTGGTCCCAATTCTACTTTCACAAACAGCTGCTTCAACAGCTAACAACAGCGCTCCCCTCTCCCACCATATTCGATGCTTTGCCAATGTGCCTTCGTGTGTCACAGCCCCTCAACATCAACACGGTGCTGCCTCAAGAGGCTGTCTCTGGAGGCCAGGCGGTAGCACAGCAGTAACCCACTGGATCCACATGGGGAAAGTCTTGGGTTCGTGGTCCATGACCTTCCTCTACACACCGAGCACTTGTGCACATGCCTGTGACCTGGGGTAATTGAGGGTGGGATCCTGGAGTAGACTTCTGGGGCATTCATTCTCTCTCTCTCTCTCTCTCTCAGAGGAAGAAGAAGAAAACTTAAAAGACCCATATGGTCTCTTGAGCTTAATATTTCTTTTATAAAAAAAAAACAAGGGTTACATTTAATATTTGTTGGAGTGACCAACATATGTCAGAATAAGAATTCAAGTCTTAGGACTCCAGATGGAGTCACTGGACTCTACTGCAATGGAGTCTTGGACCCAGCAGCTTAAAACGCATGCCAGGTGGGTGTGTGTGCATGCCCAAAATCCCAGGAGGAGAAGGGATTGCAGCATTGCCATCCCCCTGGGAGTTGGTTTCTCACTTTCTGCCTCTCTTGCGAGCATGCATGCCCTATAGCAAATAGCTCTCTTAAGGAAAAAAAAAATTTAAGTATTAAGGCAAAGGATGATATTCCTGTCTATATGAACTCTCTACATATCCCTACTATGGTAATGGATGACACAGCCTTTGGTTGGGGGAAAAAGAAAGGCATGTTCAGAAAACGGGATCGAGCTTTACCAATAGTATGAGCAGAGGCAGAAGAGGAGGAAGACGTGAAGAGGAAGAATTACGAATCAGAACAGTTCCTTCCAAGTGAAAGAAAATAAGCCACAGCCACCAGAAAAGACTCAAAAAAAAGACATCTCAGAGAATCCAAATGTCTCCCTGGTAAAACAATTTGACTTTCATTCACTTGGTGAAAATACTACTGTTCAGTTTAATCTCTGGTTTAAATTTAGGGAGGTTATTAGACATGCGTATGGCTCAAGAAACTAAAAATATGAAGTTGTATGTTTATGCTACAACAAGGCCTCCCAGGACCTCACTCTATTTGCCCAGGACCCCGACCTTCCATAATTAGTTATGGGGCTGGTATCTCAGGTCTCCCTTCCAGAGAGTCTTTATGCATATATGAAGAAACTTCAAAAAGTTTGTGGAAAAATGGAATTAACTTGAGTCAATTTAGGTGCAAAAAGAAAATGGAAACCCATGCATGGTTTCTTCACATTACAGATTTCCGTAAAATCTTGGTAAAGATTCCTTGTACAAGAAAATGTGAATTACATTTCTGTTTCACCTCTTCCATTTTAGAAAACACCTGCCAGAGGGCACATGTGTTTGCCAGAGACAGGGAGGAGAAAGAGAAAGAAGGAAAGTGAGTCAGCACCCCCATGGGAGATGGCACGCTGTAATAATCCCTTCGCCTCCATTCTCCTCTGGAGATTCTGGCCACGTACGCACACCTGCTCAGCCTGTTTTTCCAGCTGTGCAGTTGGCCACGTGGGATCCAGCCACCGTAATGACCATGCCACCTGCTGGCCCCCATTCCCTCTTGGAAAAACACAAATGTCAGTACACTAGAAGTGTTTTGCAATACTGGGGCATTGGAAAAGTCATGACATATTTTTCTTTATTTTTTTGAACATATATTTATTTATATTTGATCACATGGCTGACTGCGGTTTGAGTCCCGGACCTGGTGGCTTGCCTTCTCACTTTCTTTCTCTCTATCCAAATAATGTCAAATATATCGAGAGAGAGAGAAAGTCAGAAGACAAGCCATCGGGTCCGGGACTCAAACTGCAGTCGGCCATGTGGAAGTCCAGTGCCCTTAACCACCACACCACCTGTCGGCCCATGACATATTTTTCTATGCAAAAAAATGCGCCATGGCTTTCTGAAGACCTACTAACTGCTTGTATACGTACACGACAGGCACACTGTTATATCTTTCACAGTATCTGGGAACGCTTCTCAGCAGTTCAGCGTTTCTTCATTCTTTTCTAAGGTACAGAGCAGTGGGCTGCATGGACGGTCTCTGATTCATTTTTCTAACCCACACTGCAGTCGACACTAACATGCAATGATCCCCTGACACCATGACAGGGCTGCAGCGCCTACCCTGGGTCTGCCATTCCCACGCAGGCAAACCTATAGGGCATGTCTGCAAAGGATTCGTAAGCTGGAGCATGTCTAACCAAGAAAGCAGTTAATAAGATGTTAGCGGCAGGAGGGTGCTGCTGAAACCTCCTGCGCGACTCAGGGAGACTCAGGGACAGCTCAGCCTCTTTCTTGTAAGTTTATCCTGTCCCCTCCCAGATCCGCCCCACCTGCATTTAATCCGATCTGCCTTAGAAGCCCTGTGGAATCCACCCTTCCCAGCCACAGCCTTGCCTGCTCCACTCTGGCTGTCTCTGCTTCTCCCTCCATCTGTCATTCCTCAACCCACTCTAAGGAAGAAAATAAATGTGCTCAAGAAAAGGAGAGAGAGAGGAAAGGTGATTCTGCCCTGTTGGGCTTTGGGTGAGTGAGAGAGGGGGACATTTACAGGAAGCCAGAAGTAGCTAGTGCAGGGTGGGAGAGGGAGAAAAAATTGGTTTAATTGTTTTAAATATATTTTTGACTTACTTGGGACCCAGCAGTTAGCATAATGGCTATGTCGCTGGACTCCCACGTAGTCGTCCGCGGTTCGCGTCCCAGACCCGGTGGCTTAAAACTCATGCCAGGCACGTGTGCGTGCATGCCCAAGATCCCGAGAGGAGAATGGAGGAGAAGGGATTGCGGCGTGGCCATCCCCCCTGGGGGGTGATTTCTCGCTTCCTGTCTCTATATCTCTATCTGGTCCCTATAGCAAAAAAAACTCTCCAAAATACTTACTTACTTACTTACTTTATTTATTTTTAAATTTGACCAGGACCAGAGAGAGAGAGAGCGAGAGAGCGCGAGAGCGAACACACACAAACCAGCCAACAGGTCTGGGACTCGAACTGCGGTCGGCCATGTGGGAGGGAGTCCAGTGTCCTTAACCACCACGCCACCTGCCAGCCCCATGAACTTGGTTTTATTAATGAAAAATCAGTGAAGACACCACAGGGCTCAGAGGTAGGGTGGGGGCTCAGGGCAGAGGTGAGGACTACAGGGTTGGTGCAGAGAAGATGGCTGCGCTGATAGGAGCTCCCTGAGAAGAGCGGGCCAGCAGGCAGAGAGAATCAGGAAGACAATAAGGGGCTTCTCGAAAGGAAGAAGACAACGGGACCAGCAGTTAGCATAATGGCTATGTCACTGGACTTCCATGCAGTCGACCGTGGTCCGAGTCCTGGACCCAGTGGGCTTAAAATTCACGCTGGGCGCATGTGCGTGCGTGCCCAAGATCCCAAGAGAATGGAGGAGAAGGGACTGCGGTGTGGCCATCCCCCTGGGGGGTGATTTCTCGCTTTCTGTCTCTCTCTGTCTGGCGAGTGCATGCACCCTGTAGCAAATGCCTCTCAACAAAACAAAACAAAACAAAACAAAAAGTGAGGAGACAATGCCACGGCAACAGGGAGGTGTCAATAGTGGCACGTGCTGCAGAAGTATGGAGGGGAACGGACACGACGGAGCAGGAGGGGAGACGAGAGAGGCCAGGAAGAAACTTGGGGAAGTTGTTTCACCAGAGCACCAAGGGCAAATGGCAGGATACAACGGAGCAGACAGAACTTGTGAAATAAAAAGCATTAATGTTCAAGTATCTGTCAAAGCATTGTGTTAAGGAACACAGAAATACAATGGCAGGTGAGAGGACGCAGGACCTCGGTGACAGCTGACAATAATGACTTCCCTGGCTGAAAAGAGATCACACCTCAGAGACACTTCTGTGTAGAGGCAAGCAGACCGACCACAGGATGCGGTGGCAGCGTGATATGACAAGAGACAGATGTGGACAGGCCGGAGAGTCTGGGCCTTCTCAGGAGGTGAAAGGGTTCTTACAGCTCACACCTGCCGCTGTGCTAGCAACGTCCAGTGAGAGCTGTGTGTGTCCTTGCGAGTTACCGGGCCTGAACTCAGTCTTTAACTGATGCTCCATTAGGGCCCCAAAAGAATGACTTCAGCAATGAAAGGGTCTGGATGTCTGTGCCCTCCTAAAATTTCTA